AGAGAGAGGGAAAAAACAGCAAAAACACCAGACAAGACACAGAGAAAAAGAAGAGAAAAAATTTTAAAAAAAATTATTATTCAAAAAATTTTAATACAACTCATTTCGCTGCGCGAAATGGCTAGATCGCAGGAGCCATGGAGCTGTCTGTCTCCTGAAGAAGGGCTCTATATTTTTTAGATGTTTTAGAATTTTAAAAGTCTCTCTCTCTCTTCCCCCCCCCCCACCTCACTAGCTCACTTTCCCTCCTTTTTTCCTTTCCAGAAGTTTTGCAGTTGCTGCCACTCAGACGTCATGGCTCACAAACCAGACCAGATTTGAGTTGTGAATGAGACTCCTCTGTCAAGGAGATATTGCAGAATCAGTCAGCTAGCCCTGGTGTAGTTTGACTGAGTTTCAGGTTACCCAGTTGACAGTGAGGACAGAGACAGAGGTAGAGAGAGACAAAGAGTGATACAGAAACTGTCTGTTTCCTGAAGAACTTTCTACCACGCAAGTTTTGTATGCTGGAGGCCCAGTTATCAGTGGGACATCTTCCTTTTTCCAAAATGGCTAGATCGCAGGAGCCATGGAGCTGTCTGTCTCCTGAAGAAGGGCTCTATATTTTTTAGATGTTTTAGAATTTTAAAAGTCTCTCTCTCTCTTCCCCCCCCCCCCACTCACTAGCTCACTTTCCCTCCTTTTTTCCTTTCCAGAAGTTTTGCAGTTGCTGCCACTCAGACGTCATGGCTCACAAACCAGACCAGATTTGAGTTGTGAATGAGACTCCTCTGTCAAGGAGATATTGCAGAATCAGTCAGCTAGCCCTGGTGTAGTTTGACTGAGTTTCAGGTTACCCAGTTGACAGTGGGAAAGAATGATTTCTAGTCCCCTTTCACAAGATAGAGATCCTCAACACAGTCTCTCATTTCAATCAGTAAACCTGTATTTCTTTCATTTGCCATTCTCATTTCTGCAAATGCTATCTATCCAATTGCTGAAAACAAAAACCTAGACTGATTTATATTTTTCTTATATAGTCCATCCAATCAACTAGTCAGCACAGTTGGATATATTGGTAACTCTAAAACAACCTGTAGCCAACCATTTCTTACTTACTACATACATTCCTACAGTTCTTATCAAATGCACTGACATATCTATTTAGACATAACCTCCTGATTGGTTACTCCATGGTTAAAATTTCCACTCACATTCCTCCTTATCTCCACAGACTATCCATGTCCGAGAAGGCTGAGTGATCTTTCTAAGGCATAAATCAAACTATTTTATTGTTCTATTAAATATTCCATTAAAAATAAAAAGGAAAATTCTTTTAAAAAAAATCTCTGGTGTAACCAGAATCAACTTCACCATGACTTCTGTTGCCCTTGATGATCTGGCCCTGCTGTCTATTTCACTCTCTCAGACATTCACTACATCCCAATGACACTGGAATTTGTCCTGTTGGCATTCCAAGCTGGTTTCATTCCAAGCTGGTTTCACACTGAGACTCACCCACTTGCTGTTTCCTCTCCCTGGTAGGCTGTTCTCCCAGTTCTTTATCTTGCTGCCTCTTCCTCTTTATTCAGATTTCAGCTCAAATATCCCCTCCCAAGAGAAACCTTCTATTGTCACTCTAAGTGAAGTACCTTATTTATTGACTGTTTTCTTGCTCTAGGATAGTTTCTCATATAGCATACAGTAGTAACTTATTGTACTTAAATGGGGCAATAAGTGTTTTGAAATATTGCTTCTTTGTTCAATGATTCTATGACCTGCTGCAAGTAAATTCAAGCATTTTTTCCCAATGTACTGCACAAATACTATTAATCAGAATGTTTGTCATGGTGCACAGAAGGTTGGAGAGCACTGCACTAGAATATAAACTACTTGCGGAAAGAGTAAAAGCTGAATTTGTTGCTAATAGCATATGTATCTGGAAACACTTAAGAGAGTTGCAAAATACTGCAGTGGCCATCAGGTATGCTTGGAAAAGTTAACCTGTTGCCTGATGAGGGGCCCTACATCCCTGGTCCAGGGTCACAGAGCACATCTGATTCTTCACCACTCATTTGAACACAGAGAGGCAAAGTGGGTGAGAAAGAAAAGGACAACGTATTAGTGTGGCCACACCAGGAAGACATGTAAAAATACCTTGGACTGGTGAGCCAACTTACAGATGGTTTTATGGGGTAAGAAAGAGGTTGGGGGTAGTGGCAATGTACAGAAAGGCACAAGCCAGGTTAAGTTTTAGTTCAGGAGTTACAAACAAGTTTCTAAACAGGCGTCTTGGTTCGTTATGCAGAACATTCCTCATTCTTTTGCTCTTCATGTTGACTGCATGATGTCCTAGAATTCCTAAGAGAGATCTCAACCAGAGTACAATCAAGTTGAGGAGAAGGAGAAAAACTAGCTGATTAACAAGTTGAAGTCAGTCTGGCTAGAGTATAAGATGGAGTCAGTCTGGCTTAAGCAAGCCCCTGCTGCACAACTTCAGACATTTTCTTCATGTCAGGTGGAAAAATTCATTTGCTATCTTCTACCTGGACTAAAGATGCCCAGTTTGCCCAAGCTAACAGTGTTTAATATCCAAAGCTTCCTATTGGTAAATAATGACTCCAATTATTAGAAAGATTTGAAATTTTAGGAACATCTTCCTTTCACAGAAGGTTTCCAAGACCACTCTTGTATTTGCCCTGTCTTAGGTGAACGTTAGAGCTTTGATCCCAGTCTGTTCCAGTTCTATCTTCTTCACTCAGGAAGGGTTTGCTAAATAACTACCATTGATTAGTCCCTGGTTAGCTGCTTTCCACATGTTATAATAAGTTGTAAAATATTTTATACAAGACATTTTCTAAATGCCACAATATATATGTGTCTTTTATTAAAATCTTCTGTAATTTCAGCTCAAACTGAAAGAAACCCTAGGAAATCATTGGATTCTGTTGGCCACTTAGAAGATGAGGTCGATAAACGGTAATTTGCTTTTAATTTTTTAATATTTTATTCTGTTAAGTGATGTTTCAAGTAGGACAAGATCTGACTTTTATTTTATAATAAACCACAATGGATTTATTCTGTTTTTTTTTTTTTTTTTTTTTTTTTTTTTTTTTTT